ACACAATTCTTCAACATTTCAATACTCCTTCATTGCATAAGCATTCCTATTTTTCTTAGCTATTTGAGAGCCAATTCTTGAAGAAATTGTCGTGTTCTTGAGCGTTTACTAGTTCACTCATATCTACTCTTTGTGAGAGTTTTATTCCTGAGTGTTTAAGTGTTTTCATACACTTTAAGGGAGGTTGTTCCCTTGTTGTAAACTCAAAGGAAGTTCCTTGTTCCTTCGTGAGAAGTCTTGGAGTGCGGTATCTCCGAGCAAAGGTGTTGAGGCTCGTGTGACTCGGGTTCTCAAGTTGTATCGGTTTGTTAAGCACCCTTAAGCTTAACGGAATTAGTGTAGCTCGAAAGAGTCTCTCAGGGGGCTGGATTAGCCACACGTTTTGGTGAACCAGGATAAAATTTGGTGTGCTCCTTCCTTACGCTCTTTACTTCAACGCACTCGTTTTTAATTTCCTGCAATTTTATTTCAAACGCTATTCACCCCCCCTCTAGCGTTGGGCCTTTATTCTAACAAGAAACTGGCAGGAGAGGAGTCAAATTGGCCTCCTTAACATTGAGGAGGAGTCCTCCTTTTATATGAGTAGCTGGAGCATCTACGGGGGAATATTCTCTTATTCCTCTATTTTATTAAACATGCCCGATTTGACTGTTCTTCATAAATAATTGGGAAATGTGGGCCGAGCCACGTATTATTTCCCATCAGTCTCCATCAATTCCATAGATCTACAAGTCCTCCATCAATTCCATAGATCTACAAGTCCTCCATCAATTCCGTAGATCTCCGCCGTTGGATCTGCTCCCAACCCCGCCTCTCGCTGTTAAACTCTCGGATTCAAGATATTATCCCTTGCCCAGGTTGTCTTCAACAAAAACTAGAATAGATCTAAAAGGTGGAGATTACAGAAGAGCTAGGGGAAACAAGCACACGCTAGAGAGGCCATCCATGGTGGTGACGCCGGAGATCCGCCGTTGGTGGTGCCTGAGATTTGCCATCGACGGTGCTTGAGGGTCATTGGCTGGTGGTTGCAAGGGGATGGATGGAGGGATATATTGGAGAGGCTCGGCGTTGGAGAAGTGTTGAGGTGTGGGGGTATACTTGGAAAGTCAAGGCCATTTTTACCACACATTAATATGTGTGCCGGGTCAAATCGGGAAGTTCTTTTTTGGACGGAGAGAGTATTTTGAATTTGATCTTGTCTAATCTGATTGAATTTAATATGATCCAATTGGATCTGATCTGATCTGATTGAATCTGATATTATATGAGTTTAATTAGAGCAATTTAATAACGAAGGGAGATGCAACCGTTAAAATGACTTTTGTTTTGGCTATATGTTATCGCCGGGTTTGACAAACTTAATGAGGTGCCACGTAGACACCCTCTAAGCGAGCATGTGTAGAAAATTATTTAGAGAAATGCTAGGGGTACCCCAAATTTAGGGTACCCCATTTTGTACACCATTCATCATAGTTCTTCATTTATTTTTTTATTTTTAATTTTTTTTCTCTCTTGCTTTGTGTGGTGGAGATGGAGGAGGTACAAATGGGATACCCCAAATAGTGTATCCCTAGCATTTTTGAATTGTTTATTATATAACTT